ATAACGTTTGAATGTGAAGTGAATTTCAAATTCCAAACGGTAGAGTATTACTTGATCAAACGATGATGAGTGATGACAATAATTCGATTTGTGTTATTGCACTGTGGCACGTTTTTAAATAAATATAGTGAATTCCGCTTAATGTGGTCACATTGGGATCAGCCCTGTTTGCCCACATTAAGCGGTTGTCCATAAAAACCGAAATTAGTTTAAAAAAGAAATTGTGATATCAAAAAAGTTCTTATTTTGTACACGTAAATCACACAATAAAATTGAAAAAATGTTAAATTACTATATAAATAAAACTAAATATAACATACTAAATAAAATTACTTTTTGGATGTGGGAGATATGCAAAAATTTTAATTGCTCGTTGTCTAATGTCTAAGCTGTTTAGTGTGGATCTGATTTATAAAAGTAGCACACGTTTCAAGCTTATCGGATGGACTACCCTCGTTACTATCTTATGTATATTCTAACGCTATGATAAAATAAAAATTGCCTACATAAACCGAACCGAGTGCCCATATTATGCGATTCATTATAATTTTGCTGGTATACATTAGAATTGGGATCAAGCCATTTTGCCCATATTAACCGGTGCCCAAATTAGGCGGAATCCACTGTACATACTGTACGATACATTATAGTAAGTATATGAGGTGCACGTATAGCACCCATTTAAAGAAGTGGAGTAAGATAACAGAAAAAGAGGTTCGAGGATTGAAATTGTTAGAAAAAGTTACCATACACATTATGTCCCTTCATATGTATGGGTAACTAATGAGTAATGGCCATCTCTTTTTAACCATGTCGACAATCTGTTGCTGGGTGTATAGGCCGCGTGGTCCATATTTTAATATATCTATGATACCATTTTATTATACGCCTTGCAGATAACAAATTTTTAGGATCACTTGAAATGAGGTCTCGGAAATTGAAAAGACAAAATGTAACCAATTACCGATCACCCTCTGGAATAATGAGAATAGTTCTGAGATCAAAGGGTTACAATGATTATGAAAAATAGAATACCTAATACGTAATATTATTTCTCGTATTTATGAATAATAATGCTTATATTTGAGTCACATATATTGATTTATAATTTTATCGATTTGTCTACGATAGTTCTACGGTGTAGTTATTGGACTATGAAAAATGTGAATTCAAAATGATTGGTAACATGCAATAAACCTATTATAATTATGTTATATAAACGTGAAAATGTAAAAAAAATAATAAAATATACATTTTCAAACTTATAATTGAACGTTTGAAGTTAAATATAATTATTCAATTTTACTTTTACAGTTGATATATATTTATAATATATTCACATGTCGATGCGGTTAAAAGTCCAATTGCCATAACCTTCACTCTGGTTAAAAGTGAGGTTTTAAAGAAGTACCAAATTCATATCATTTTCTTATTTTCTAACCAATTGTAATAACCCACGGGTTAATTTTTAATGTTTAAGATTTTATTTTTATTTTTTATTTATTTTAACATACGCCACATAAGTTAACGTTTAGTGTCGTTACTCGTTAGTTACATCTAAATCATATACCAAGTAAACTGTATATAAGATCTATGAAGCCACATTTACATTATTATTCTCACTATTGTGATTACAACGAAATGTTTTGTTTTTTTGTATTTTAAAATACTTTAAAATAAAACAATTCATAACTAAAACAAAACAATGGATACGTATATATTACTACGTTTAATAAAAAATAATAGATAATACAATATTGCATAATATTATTTATTATTATTATTTATTATCATCATAATTAATTATTATTATTCTTTTATTTTATTTATTATATTTATTAAATGTAGTAAATCTTATATAAATCACTGTAATGTCTGTAATTAAAAATGCTGTTCTATTTATTATGTATTCAAATCGTAGTACGTAACCCTCAACTAAGTAAAGATAATTTTAGAGATATTAATAATAATCCCCAACTCAATTTTTTAAGATGATTGATTCAACAGTTAACATAGAATTAACAAATAGGTGCATATTTATTAGTTAGATCAAAACAAATTATGATGAAGATAAATATTATGTTTTAAGCTTTTTCTGTAAAATTATGTTTGTGATATGCGATAATTAGCCTTTCAATCGTTGACATGAGTATATGACATATTGTTTAAGTACTCTATTAATGATGGATTACTGTTTTTTAATATCTAAGATTAATTATTTTTAAATAAATATCATTTAAAAACATTTAATGCATTGCGGTGAATGTATTATAGATCACCATTCTAAGGTATTAATATATTTCATTGGAAATTAATTAAGATATTACAATGATGCTATATTTATGAGTTTAATGTTGTAAGTAGGTAATATCAAACATGTATACATTTCATCGAATGTCTTTTGAAGTCTTAGAAGTTAAATGTTAAATGATCAGAAGTTTTAAATAACACAAATAAAATTGTCGTATGGCTTACAACTTACTAGTATTTATGTATAAACTGTTCACGTCTCACATTAACGTTTGAATGAAGGTAAGTTACTAAGTTAATTTATAGATAGGCTTTAAAATAGCCTATAGCCTGTAGGTATTTAAAATAATTATTAATTTATCTCGATTTTTAAAAACATTAAAAAAGATTAAACATAGAACCTTTGTTTTGTAAAAATTCGCTAAAATTTTTTAACAATCATGTTTTTTGTATTAACAATTAATTTTTTTGAACTGTAAATATGTCGGGACACATTGTTTTAAATATTATATTGTACTATAACCTATAATTAAATTGTTTTGAAGATTTTCACCAAAAACGAGGAATGTATATATTTATAGTTATAAAATAAATAACGATTAAACGATGTACCTTAAATCTTCATTGCAAAATGTACATGCGTTCGGCGACGAAATAGTATCGCGCACCTGACCGTATACAATATTTTTAAGATTAACGAAACACGTAAAAGCACTTCTGCACACTAATATTACATTTTATGTTGGGTGGTTCATCGAGCATACTCAACCTCATTTTTTTCTTTAATAATAAATTTGTTTATATTTTATATTTATTGTTTTTTATTTTATTTATTTATTCAGGTTCTGATTTTTGTAATCTTTAAACATATTCAAAGGCAATGTTTGAAAAACAGAAGTTTCTATTTTGTATTTATATAAGACATTAAAGTAATACATAAATTCTCACAAATTTAAAAATATGGTTTTTAGGTATATTTAAGTATTCTAAAAATCAGATTTAATGATATACATTTAAGGCTAGTTGATGAAAATACTAACTCTATATAGGTAGGTATAATATACAGGTTGCAAATGACATATAGTGAATTTCACATAATTATAAAAACTCGATTCTTTATATTATTTTAAATTAACGTCCTCGGTTGTTGTACAATAGAAAGTGTTATTTATTCAGTTCCAATGCAACATATAATACTTGTTTATTCGTTAATATATGTGTCTATTTTATTTAAAACCGTAAGTATGATGAGTAGGTTCAATTTTCATAGTATACAGAATGATGTATGTTATATTTTAGTATTGAAGGTATGCAAATCGACTTCAAATCAATGGGCACATTTATCATAATATTAAATATAAAATGTTCGTCCAACTGTGTATCATTCGAGAGGTGAAAACAATAATCGAGTCGAACTCCTATTGTAATTTTACCCTGACTTTGCAGATAATGGCTAAAATCGTATTGGCAACTGTGGCAGTGCGTTAAGCACATACACTTTTCTTAAAAATAAAAATGCATATCACGCCCGTCTAGCCAAACATTAAAAAAAATGTAATATTATTTAATTATTCGATTCGTAAGCAATAAGTAGTAAAACTATCAATGAAATATTATCATTTGAAATACATCTTAATTAAAACATTTAAATGATGGAATAATTTAGTTAGCTAATATTTTCTGGTAATAAGATGAAAAATGGTTGTTTGAAATCGCAACAATAATGATGTGTTATTTAAACGCAATATTGCAATACATTTTGATTAACGACTATAGCGTATAGTATCATCTGAAGTTGTCTATATTACGGTGGAGCTACGTTGGATATATGCACTATATGAGTATATATTATATACTTACTACAATACTATTAAACAGAAAATATAAATAAATAGCGTACGCGTACAGTGTACACAGTCACATACCTAAAACAAGACTATCACAACTTAAAACTTATAGGTTTGAGAGAAATGATTAATGTTTATAACCAAGTTATATTAAAGAGTTGTTTACTTATGCATTTGAAACTAAAAGCTCATTTACTATTACAAAACATGTCTTACAGTATGGCAACTTCAAATATTATGAAATAGTTTCTTATAAATCGAAAAATTCAGACTTATTTATCTTTATAACTTTTCAAGTGAATACAAGATTGCCTATTTTGAGACTTGCCGGTAAAATATTTCTATTTGGTAATTTGATTAATTGGATTAGGTATAACAAAAAAAAAGTATTTACGTACTTAAATTCAAGTTTGGCTTAGTTGTTTTGAAAATGAGCTAAATTTCAATACTATTGATTCATTTTTAGCAAAAAAAAAAAAAAATGACATCGAATGTAGCGTATTTGCGCTACATAGAACTAATATTTTTTTACCGATCGAAAGTAATCATAACTCAAAATTGATGAACTTCGAGTTGTAGCAGTGTCTTTCTAGAGGTGCGAATTATGATGACGTATAAAATATGCGTACTGTTGCAGAGAGTTCCGTGCCGACAAGTGATTTTTAACCTTGTGCGGCGGGACCATACCTAAGGAAGACGGTCGTACGCAGAGGCACCGGAAAAAACCGATACATAACTCATATTAGGTTTTTTCAACGGCTTGGGGGAATGACCTTTAACCGAGACAAACGATCGCACCACCCTACCCCTCTCTGCACGTGCGAACGACTTAAGGATCTGCCGTGCCATATGCAACGGCTCCTATATAAATATTACTGACACGGTGAAGAAAATTTCACTTACGGCCACGATCCGGACCGGCGGCGAGGTTTTCGGACGCGCCGCTGTTCAGCCGTGCAGTTCTGACAGCCGTCGTCGATACGGCCGACCGTGGCGGCGTCACTCCGATCGAACGTGTCGGTCACGGAGACGGAGGTTTTTGCCGCGGACCGGTCGCAACACGTCCTGCCGTTAACGCCGTCTTCGCGACTCCGGCACGACACCCCGAAGGACGTGGACGTGTCGGTCGCGTTGCCGCCGTAGCGTCCGGCCGACGACGAGCCGAACGCTTCCTCGGCGTGTTGCACTTTCATGACGGTGATTTTCGCGCGTTGCGACGAGACGGAACACAGCCGAACGCGACCGCGTCCTGTCGGTATAATATTATCGCGCCCGTCACCGGCCGGCGTTATTTATTTGTGATGTGGATATCGCGCTCGGGTCGGCCGATATTCCTACACGGACCTGATCGCGATGACCGCTGTTGCGCCCGACGAGAACCTATATATTATTATGCGTCAGACGAGAACCTATGCGCCAACGGACGGCGAGCCGACGACTGCAGTTGCCGTACACACTGGCAAACCGACTTCGGAAGGTGGCACGCGATGCGCCGCGCCGCCCCACTTCGGCACGTCGCAAACGGTCGTTCCCCCACCGACCGATGTTTGTAATATGCGAGTGCGTCGCGCATGCCGCCGGTGTCATCGTGTCGATATAATAATGACATCAAACAATAATAATAATTTAATAATTTTATTATGCATCACGAATAATAAGAATATAATGCAATTCAGTGTTCACTTGGACATCACATAATTATTACAATAAGTTATTGTATGATTTGGCGACGACGGGACGCGATTAAAAATCAATTACACTCGACAAATCGGGCGAAAATAATCGATATGCAACCGCAATACGATACGTCTTGTGGAGAGTGATGTCGGGAAAAATAAAATAATGCGATGACGACTATAATATTTTGATATCATATTATGACAGTGCTACGGCATATAAAGTGATAAACCTGCAGCCGTAGGTACGATTCATCAACCACACTCAACGCCTCCCCTTTTTCTTCTTCTTCTTTTTCTTCTTCTTCGATAATGACGTGGTTATTTAGAATTTAATTTTTGGAACCATCAAACAATACGATAGCTGTATACGTCGTATAGATTATAGAAGACCGTATTTCCAAATTCGAAGAAAGAGTTTTCGTACTACACGTATGGTACTATTCAATCAGGTACATCAGCGTTTTAAAATAAAACTCAATAAGTTAAAAGGAGGGCTTTTATCGGAAAAATATGAGTTTGTATCTATTACATCCTCGAACGGTATAAAAATAATCTCAAAATTTTGAAAACATAATCTTGACGTATACGCGCTTGAAAATATCAAAAAAAAAAACCAGATTTTGAACAACCCATAATTTATTATTATTGTTGTAGAAGAAAAATAGGCACTCTACGAATAATCCCGTAGACGCGATTCACCGGACTCGTGGGTTCTTCGCGTGCCATTGCGTAAGTCGCGCAATAATAAAAGACCTTCGGCGGCGTCGATATTTGCGCAACGGCGCCCGAGGAAGTCGCCAGACGGGGCGAACCGCGGTGTTTTATTAAATAGAGGTATGCTTTTGATGTTATATATTATTTATTAAAGTTATGTGTGGCGACGCGAAACTGACCTTCTTTTCAGCGGGCTCAATCCACCGGCGCCGTCCGAAACCGATGCCGCGGTACAAGTCCACGCCGGTTCCCATTGACGCTCGTCGTAATAATCACTGTTACTCCTCATCGTGCTGGGGCCGTCGTTCTCGGTATGTATTATTAATATACCAGCTAGATATCTCCTATCACCACTGATGTACTTATTGCGTGTACGGCTAATAATAAATTAGATTACCGTTTTGTAAACGACGTTTTTCGACTGATTTATAATTATTATTATTTTTTTTTTTTTTTTTGGCACTATTCACTATTATTTGAAAAAAAAAAAAAAAAATAAATAACGAGATCCGATCCGATCTGCGCAGTCTTGCCCTCCGCACTGCGCTTGCAGCAAGTCGTACACGATATATTATATTATAGTTTTTGAAACGATGTTAACATTAATTATTATAATATGATGTTATTGTCGCACCGCGTCAGTCACGGTGCGTCCGGCACACAAGATATATACAATGTAAGACGTGTACGTACGTACGGCGTTCGGGCGTAAGTGCGCGCGCCCCCTCCGGTGCGGTGCGATTTCCACCTTGCCGCCGGCCGATCACGCATCGTCATCGCCGCCGCCCGAACCCGGGTGTCCTTGCCAGAAAAATTCAAATACCGAAGAGAACCTTTCACGGCACCGCGTGTCTCCTCGTATCCAGCGATGGTCGAAAATATACAATAGCTCTACAGCCCCGACCGTTGAGAGTTATTTTCGTAGAAAATTCACCGGTGCCTGCGGGGTCCGGAATTCACAACGGCCCGGCCAATTCATAGAAATGCAGTCATTTGTCGAGGAGAACGAGCGTATATACCGACCCAATAGAACAAACGTGCGGAAATGTAAATAAAACAGTTTGTATATGAATATCGATCTACAGCACTCGCGAGCCGGGGCGATAATTATTTTCCGAGTCTTTTCCGAGTTGAGTCATCGCGGTCTTCGTTTTTACCGCGAGAGTCCGGATGGGTTTCAAGTTCGACTCCCGATCTTGTAAACGATATTTTTTTACATCTCAACTGTTCCCGAGTATACCTTTAAATTTTAATAGCTCTCATCGATATATGCGCGAATTTAAAGTATTTATAACTGCATTTTTAAATACTATAATAACGATGAAAATAGTCTTACGCGCGTACAATAATATAATAATTATTGACGCACAGTAAATTGTAATTAATGTAAGGTTTTCGTCTGGATAGTTTATATTATTTTTAGGTGTCCGGCAAATCATACATTGCTAAGTATTACAAGTACTGTACGTTTTGTGGTACGTATGAAAATATTCGTTTTTAAATACTTTCATCGAAAAAATGATAACAGAAAGATTTAAAAAGTTCCACGCAGATAAAACACAAATGTACAGTTGCAAGAGATGATTATTTAAATCATAACTATAAGTAATGTATTTCACTCGATAATAATAACAATACTATTAAGCATCGCTCTACGTGATGCCAGTAAAACATAAAACGATTATTTTTTAAAGTATAAAGTACATAAGTACATATTATTTTACTAATATTTTAGTAAAATCTCGTTTAAAATTGCCTTGAACAATTCCGGAACAATAATTATGTCGATTTTGATAATCGCATAATATTATAATAACGTAAAAATTATTCAAGGGCCTAATAATATTCAGTTTTTTCTGACTATTAATAATAATAAAAATAAATAACTACATGTAACTATATTGTATAAGTATTTAGAAATATTTAAGTATATAATAAAAACCAATGGGATATAACAATTTATAACAAGTATACACGTGTTAATATATTATACTTGTTGTTTTTTAAATTTATTTATTAATTTATTTTTCTCGTTTCCCGTATTTTGTAAAATTATATTAATACACATTGTAAGACTATCTAGGAAACTCGAAGCTAAAGGGAACTAAAAAAAATTGATATTCTGAATATTCTAATATGTATTTAGTTAAATAAATTTACATTATTTTAATTTTTAAAGAAAATGCAATACACTGTATTCATATTGTATACAATATAATATATTATACTCGTAACTTAAATTTATATTTTAAATTTTAAATTTTTTAAATATATTTGGATTTGTGTCTACTATACATAAATAAATTATATCATGTAGTTATGTATAAAAACATATCAGACCTGTTGCTCTATTGCTCTGGAAATAGTTTGTATTGTCGTAGTTTAATATTTCCCACGAGTTTTAATATTATCCAGAACATTTTCTAATCCAATAAGGCAAAAAATGTTATTAAAATTTATTATTTTGCTTTAACTCAAATCGAACAATCGTTATTTTAACCATCGTCCATCGCACATTTCATAATCTTCGACTTAGCAGAAGATATTGCAAAACTTGATAAATTATTTGAGCTAAAAAAATTAATTTTCAACTGAAGTAAATTGATTTTTGATTTGAAGACATTTTTGAACTATAGTCTATAGAGAGTTTACTGTTAATTATAATTATTAATTATCAGCACATTATATTCAGGCCGGATTTACGCCTAAGCCTACAAATTTTTGGGGGCGGCAAATTTTGTAAGGAATAGAAAAAAATCATATAAATATTTTATGCATTTATGTAACTGCATAAATTAATATTATATAATATTTATTTATATTTAAATAACATAGAAGTAAATTCATGAATTTGAGAAATAAATACAATTTTTTTTTCTTGGGGTAGGGGTGTCATATTTTAAAGGTCCTAGGGCGGCATTTATTCTAAATCCGGCACTGATCACATTATAGTATTAAATTTATTATCTTAAATTATATTTTAATGTATAATTATGTGCATTTTATTGCTAATATGAATCATGATAATCCATAATTTTAAAATACCTAATATACGCATAATAATTTCGTATTAAACCACTTGTTATTTTTCTTCGATCCCAAGACTTGTAAGTTTTCAACGGCTTTATTCACTGATTCTTTGATATTTACCCATGTTTCATCAATGTCATTCTGAAGCACACTTTCTCTATTTAGTATGCCAGTCAAATTAATTTGGTATGCTTCGACTTCTGCTGGGTTTTTTGCTTTATCAGCGCTGAAGTTTTTAGTTCTTGGCTTATGTTGTTTTTTCTTCATAATTCAAAAAGTACTGAATAATAACCTTACTGGTAAGCGTCCCAGGGGAAGACCTCTCCAACGTTGACGGGATAGATTAAATGCAGATATAAGAATGGTGGACTAAGCAGCAAGTTTCGAGACTGCCAGTGATCGTGACAAGTGGAGAGGTTTAGTAGAAGCTGCGAAAAGTCTTAAGGGCCCATAAAGCAAAAAAAAAAAAAAAAAAATACGCATAATAATACACACAATACATATATTATTGCAGGTTTAATAAATATGTATAAAATATTATATACTCGTATATACTTGTACGTGGGGCTCAACTCACATAGGTAATACTTTTTCGTAATTGTATGCCTTATTTATTAATGTTTTTGTTATACAGAAATTTATCGTTGCCGGAGCGTATATGATTAAATAATATTTTAATCATTAGTATATATTATACTGATACTATCTGTTCCTACGCGACCGGAAAAGTCAGACATTTCTCCCGGGAAATCGGATGAGACCGGTTATTGTGACGCATCACGCGTAAATAAAATTATTATCATGATTTTAAAACTAGTAGGTAATGGCTGATATTGCGCACTTATATTAGATGATATTCTATACAAATGACTGGTTTTGGAATTTGTTTTATTTTTTTTATTAATTCTTCCATCGCAGATGATTTTGTGCTTTAATTTCGTACGCGTTACGTAAAGTAATAAAAAGTTATAATATAGTATTAATATGATTAAAACAGTTTCGGAATGTGCTGTGAAACGCCGTCCGACCTCAATC